CATAGCAAGCCTACCAATGGCTACGCATGAACGCCCTCGGACGTTTGCGACTCGAGAGAGAGAGAGTAGTAGTCGTCGTAGTAGTCGTAGTCGTAGTCGTAGTCGTGGTCGTGGTCGTGGTCGTGGTCGTAGTCGTAGTCGTAGTAGTAGTAGTAGTAGTAGTAGTAGTAGTAGCAGTAGCAGCAGCAGCAGCAGCAGCAGCAGCAGCAGTAGCAGTAGGAGCAGCACCCGGCCTTGCATACTAGCTGCGTCAAACATGCGGTGTAAATGTCTTTGGAAATCACGGGGTGATCTGGGTTCTGGTTCAGGAACTCCCTTTGGGTTATGTGTGTAAATTTCTCTCTCTCTCTCTCTCTATATATATATATATATTATGTATACATTTGCAGAGTACGCTTGACTACTGTGGTTCCTTGTTTCAAGTTCCAGTACTTGGCTGAACATATGGGACTTAGCAAGTCAGGCTGCAGATACGTTAAGTCTAAGTTGAGGTCACTCAGTCACTACAAGCCCGAGGCTTCCAGGGACCTTATAGTTAGGGCCCCAGAACCCTAAAGCCTAAACCCTGACCCCTTAAGGACCCAATTATAAGGTCCGTGGAAGCCTAGGGAAGTATATGCTAGCCTCACTTGTGGCCCCAGTTACGAAGTGCGATCCTTGAGGCCCTAAGCTACTCTGGATCGTTTGTAGAGAACCCTGACGGAACCCTTCAAAGGACCCTAAATTCCAACCCTTAAACTTAAACTCCTGAAAGCAATAAGAAGCAGAAGTTGCAGATCTATAGGTCCTTTATCTTAGCTGCTGAGTTCATAAGCACAAAAGTGTGGACACTTTCAGTTCTACAAGGGATCATACTATCCCAAAAACGTTCTTTAAGGTGTACTCATTCAGCTACTAAGTTATAGAAACATGGAGCCCTTTGAGGAACCCTTAACCTTAACTAAACCCTGAACTCCTTGAATCAACTTAAACCCTAAACCCTAAGCCCTAACCCTAAACCCGCAAAACCCTAAACCCCTAACAGCCTAAGCTCTAAAGCCTACACTCTGAAGCCTATAAACCCTAAAAAACCCTAAACTCTGAAGCTCTAAACCCTAAACTTGCAGTTCCAGCTTCCGAGAGATTGACCCCAAGGCGATCTCCCTCCAGGGGGCGGTCGATCACCAGCTGCCTGGAAGGTTTAGGGTTTAGGGTTTTGGGGTTTTGGGCTTTAGGGTTTGCCGTGGAACAGCGCTTAGGCGGCAGTGTCTTGCGCAAACGTTGTGTCGAGTGCATCGTACCATCGCGACGGGCTGCGAAGGCTCAAAACTTTCAGTCAAAACGCTTTGCTCAAAACCAGCGCAGCCCGGCCAGCCCCCAGCCCAGCCTGCCCGGCCCGCCAATGCCAACATCAGGTTTCAGTCAGAAAACTTTCGGTCAACACTTTCACCCCCCAGCCCTTGACCCCCTAAACCCTAAACCCTAAACAGTCCCCTCAAGCCCAGCCCCACCCAGCCAGCAGCCCACCCCCAAGGGCACCCACAGCCCAGCCCAGCCCCCAGCCCAGCCTGGCCCATCTCAGCCCAGGCCCAGCAATCCCCAAAAACAGGTTTTTCCAAAAAAAAAAACCTGCTCAAAACTTTCGATGAAAAAGTTTATTGGCACCCAAACCCTTAACACTTTCTATAAACACCAAAACCCTAAACCCTAAACCCCAAATCCTAATCCCTAAACCCCAACAACCTAAACCCCCCTCCCCCCTGTTCTTTCGGCCTCCACGTCTTCGTAGCCCTGGACTTGAAGTTCGGAGTCGAACTCGGTCCCAGAGACCGGAGACTTGGCAACAGTCCTTGCTTGGGTTTTGGGCCTTTTTGGGTAAGAGACATCGATGGTTTTGTTGGGCAGGTTCTATGAGGGTTCAGGGTTCGGGGCTGATCCTATAAGGGATTCTGGCTTCTTTAACAGCTTCCTTGAGGGCTCCTTTCAGGTTTAGGGTTCTTACAAGGGTTTCTGGAAGGGGTTCGCTAATGTGAGGGTTCTTCTGGGGGGTTTAGGCTCTAGGGCTGTTTAGTGTTGGGTTTCGGGGTTTAGGTTGTAAGGCGTGGGGCACGGAGCTTCAGGGTGTAGGTGTTTCGGGTTTCGGGCCTAAGCAGCAATCTTCCTTCATGGCCGCAATGGTTACTGGGCCTGCAGAGGTTGTTCCTCCTCTTGTTCTTGCATTCTCTTTCATGACTCGGCTCTAGTTGATTAAAGCCTGCTCCGACCACTGCGGTAGCTGCTGCTGCTATTGCAGAGGTTGCCACTGCTCAGAAGGTGAACTCATAACAATCCCAAACGAGTTTGTCGTGTTCCTTGCGAAACATTCAACCCTCAGAGCTGCTCTTCTTGTGGCCTCGGTTTTGATTTCCGAGTTGGGGATCCAGCGGACCAAACCCTTCTGCAGCCCCCAAAACCGTAACCTTATCATTACTTAAAAGTTGCCTATGCCTATACCCAAACTCGTATACCCTCTCGACTAAGTTTTGGGCCTGTTGCATCCGTGATTACCTGTGTTTTCCATGAGGCAAACCCTACCAAAAGGCTGTGAGTTTGCATGTTCATTGATGATTCTTACCCGAAAAACCTTAAAACCCTGAACTCGACAAGTTTATAGGCCTTGGGTCTTCGGGACCCTAAACCCCAAACCCTATCTTTCAGACCCGGCATCGATGATGCTGATCTTGCCGGGAGAGGACAGGATCGGCTCGGTGGGCGCCGAAGTCGTGCAAGAGATAGGCTCGCGTTGAGACAATAGCACAGCTGCCTGAGTTTAGAGCTCGCTTATAGCGCTTTGGGGGTTTTGGGGGGTGCAGGGTTTTTTTCTGGCTTTGGGGTGTAGAGTAGAGGTTTAGGGCTTCCAGGGTTTCGGGCTTCACGCTGCTTGAGTTTCGGCACACGTGGTTTCAGGGTTTCGCAGTCAGGGCGGCTGTCTTCGAACCTGAGGGTCGTCAGGCTGGCTCGTGTGGAGTTGGGGAGCTGGGGCCCTTAACCCTGGACCCTAAAACCCGAAAAACCTAAACCCGAAAATTCTAAATCTAAATCCGAAAAACCCTAAACCCTAAAACCAAACCACTAAACCCTAAACCCGAAGACCCTAAACCGAGCAGCCTGCAGCAAAAGCAAGCAGCGTGACAACGAAGACTATCAGGAGTCCTTGGCTGGAAAGCTTCAGATTCTCCACCGTTTGGGGGCGGGGGGGGGGGGGGGAGGGTTTNNGGATTAGGAGTTTAGGGGTTTAGGGTTTAAGTTTTTCTTTACTTGAGTTTTCTCTGAGGACCCAGTAGTGAGCCTACTTCAAAAGCTTTCGAAAGCAAGCTGGCAAACATGTCCTTCGTGTCTCAACCCCCCTGACACTATCCACGTATAACCCCCAGTAAGCCCTACACCCCGAAATCCTAAACCCCTGAACCCCAAGCAGAAGCGTTCTCCAACATTTCTCAGCGTCCGCTGGTCTTCTTGTCGCTCAGGGCATCAGAAGCAGCCGCGGAGAGCTTTGCCCGCCAAGCTTGCAGCAAGGACATGGGCGCTGCCAGTGTCGAGCTGAGACTTCCCCCTGTCTCATTCCTCACCGTTCAGGGTTCAGGGCTTAGGGTTTGGGCGTTAAGGTGTTGGGATGTGGGGTGATGTGAAGCTACATAGTGACTCTCATCCCACAAAAAGCCAAGCTACTTCTACCTGGAGGACGAATGCTCCTAGCCCCTGGGGATGCTCTGGGGATTCGGCTTGCAGCCGTCGACTCCGTTGTGGAGGCTAGCGACGGTTTAGGGTTTCGAAGTTTCGGATTTCGGGCTTTATAGGGTGAACGAACACGATTCTGGATGATTCCGGTTGATGTGGTTTGCCTGTAGCGGCCGCGGTAAACATACTGCTCAGAGCACTTCCCCTCAGCGCCACGCCCGTCTTGTATCCCATAATTAAGCCCTCTCAAACCCCATAGAACACGATCACATCCAATAAAATCCCATAGAAGATTCGGGAAACTGTAACCGTGTACGACCCTGTACGACCTTCTCAAAGGAGAAGCCCACAAATCAGTCTAGGAGTCTTCACGGCGGCCACGGGAGTCCTCCGCTCGGGAATCCTGAGGGGCGGAACATACATACATACATATATATATATATGATGACCCCTAATTCTAAACGGTTCAGGGTTTAGGGTATATAGTGAGCACGGTTGCAGGATTCCTGAGGCTAAGGAAAGCAAGTCCGCGGCAATAGGGGCACGCTTGAATAAGCATGCAAGGGAAAACCACTTCTGGGAAAACAAAAACCCTGCATCCTGAAACAGACCCTGGGCTGCCATGGCCGCAAGAAAGCCCGAACCCCGGAAAAACCCAGCCAGAGAGACCAACCCCCCCGCAGGAAAGACACCGAACAAGAACCCCCGAAGCCCAGACCAGAAGCAAAGCAAGAACCCAAACACAAAGCTAAACCCTGAAGATTAAGCCTAAAACCCTAAATGCTTAAACTCTCAAGCCCTAGACCCTGAAACCCTCAGAACCCTAAACCCTGAAACCCCCAAGCCACGTCTCGAAGCCTCTCATGCTTGCTCAGACTCCCTCAACCCCTCAACCCCTAGCCCTGAACCCTTGAATGAACACTCTCACAGAGCTCCTACACGAACCCTCCGAGGAAACCTCTCAATAAGGATAAGTAAAGCAACCACAAAGGAGACACTATTTATTTAAAGTGATCCCTCAGACTCCCCGAAACACTTCAAGGACGCTCTTAGTTGCTTCGTTAAAGTGACCCTATGCCCTAACGAGCCCTTGACAAAACCCCCACCCGTAAAGGAAAGCCGTGAACCCGATAAGGACACCCTAAACCCAAAGCCCTGAACCCGAACAGGAAACGCGGAACCCTAAGCCTAAGCTGAAAGGCCCTGAACCCTTAAAGGAAAACCATCAACTCCAAGCCATCAACCTCAACAACAACTCTTGATCCTAAGCCATAGACCCAAGAAGACAACCCTTAACCCTCAGCCATGAACCTAAAAAGTCAACCCTTAACCCTCAGCCATACACCCAAAAAGACAACCCTTCACCCTCAGCCATAAACCCCCAAAATAATAGCCCTCATAGAGCCCCTTTAGAAAAACCCTTTCAGGGAAACCCCGAGTTAACGTAACCCTGGGCCCTAAACCCCAAAATGAGGACCCATCAAGGGGAGGACCCTAAGCTACCTACGAGCCCCCAAAAAGGGGAGCCTTACAGCAGCCCTGCAACCTAAGCCCGAAACCCTCTGAGCCCATAAAGTAATCCCTCACCAAGAGGATCCATTAATACTACTATGATGGAACTAGGTCCCTGAAAACCATCATACAGATGGTCTTTCGGAGCTATTGCCATAATGGTAGTAAATATCGACCCTCTGCTAAACCCGAAGAGGGAAAACCCCAATGTAACTCTACACCCTAAATCCTAAACCCTAACCCCCAACCCCTAAACCCTATAAAGTAACCTGAAGCCCCCCCCCCCCCCAACAGGAGGCCCTTAAAAGTAAGCCTTGCATGGCCTCTAAGGAGATCCTAAACCCCTAAACCCTAAGATCCTAAAACCCTAAACCCTAAGATCCTAAAACCCTAAACCCCTAAACCCTAAAACCCTAAACCCTAAACCCTAAAGCCCTAAACCTCAAAAAAACCCAAAACCCTAAAAGCCCTAAGATCCTAAACCAAAAGCCCCACTAGTAAGACCCTTAAGATCCTAAACCCTAAACCCCAAAAACCCTAAAAGCCGTCAGATCCCAAACCCGAAACCCTAAACACTAAGATCCTTAACCCTAAACCCTAAACTGTAAGATCCTTAACCCTTAACCCTAAAACCCTAAACCCCCCAAACCCCAAAAAAACCCAAAAACCCTAACTAAACCCTAAGATCCGAAAAAAGAAATCCCTCAGAGTCCTCGAGGCTCTCGGACCCCGAGCTGCTGCCAGGGACGCGTTCGCCGCGGGCGCTTCGGCCCGCGACGGCCCTTGGGAGCTCGCGGCTGCTTTGGTTTTAGTATTTCAGGGTTTATAGGGTTTAGGGTTTAGGGTTTAAGGTGTAGGGTTTAGGGTTTGGGATGTAGGGTTTCGGGTTTAGGGCTTAAGGTGGAGGGTTTAGGAGTTTAGGATTTCGGGTTGCTGCCAGGACCCTCCTTGTACCGTCAGATAGGGGTATATGGTCCCCAACTAAGGGGAATTTAGGGTTTAAAACAGGGTAGATGGAGAGTTTAGGTGCTTTGGTTTTAGTATTTCAGGGTTTAGAGTTTAGGGTGTAGGGTTTCAGGTGTAGGGTGTAGAGTTTAGGAGGATCCAAAAATCTACCGTTCTAAAGGTTCTACCCTCTCATTAAGGGGTCATAACCTACTAGTGTGTAGGGTTTGGGGTCACAGGTAGTATATATTGTACATATATAGCTTAGGGTTTAGGGTTTTGGGGTATACAGGTATACATACATGTGTACATGTGTGTGTGTGTGTGTATATATATATATAATAATAATAAGGAGTCGGCAAGACAACTAGGA